ACGTTACTGTCAAGAAATGTAATCAGTAATTGCTACCGCACTGAAACGTTACGTTACGTTACTGTAAAGAAATGTAATTAGGAATTGCTATCGCACTGAAACGTTACGTTACTGTCAAGAAATGTAATCTGGAATTGCCACCGCACTGAAACGTTACGTTACTTTCAAGAAATGTAATCAGGAATTGCTACCGCACTGAAACGTTACGTTGCTGTCAAGAAATGTAATTAGCAATTGCTACCGCATTGAAACGTTACGTTGCTGTCAAGAAATGTAATCAGGAATTGCTACCGCACTGAAACGTTACGTTGCTGTCAAGAAATGTAATCTGGAATTGCCACCGCACTGAAACGTTACGTTACTTTCAAGAAATGTAATCAGGAATTGCTACCGCACTGAAACGTTACGTTGCTGTCAAGAAATGTAATCTGGAATTGCCACCGCACTGAAACGTTACGTTACTTTCAAGAAATGTAATCAGAAATTGCTACCGTACTGAAACGTTACGTTGCTGTCAAGAAAAGTAATCTGGAATTGCCACCGCACTGAAACGTTACGTTACTTTCAAGAAATGTAATCAGGAATTGCTACCGCACTGAAACGTTACGTTGCTGTAAAGAAAACCCTATAGTTACTGCGTGGAAGTGTTCCTTACAAGAAATCTTGCTGTCAAGAAGCCGCTACTGCCAGGACATTTTGTCATGATACTGGTAAATAATGTTCCCGTAAGATCACTGTTACAGGGATATGATTTTGTTTAATATATTGAATACGGTGATGTAAAGACAAATAACACCACCTAAACTTACTAATTAAGCTTACTAAAGTTTAATAAGCTATTCAATACACTGACATCACGAGTATAATAATAAAAAAATTGCAATTTTTTAGAGCATATTAATGTACATATTTAAACTATTTATTTCATCATTATGAATCCCTTTCGAATTGTAAATGTATATTAAAAGTAAACGTCACGTTGGGTTGAATGAATAACTTTTGGTTCAGCGAATAATGTGAAAATATTAAAAACAAAACTTTATCAAATCCACTCTTTGGGTGGTCGGTGAATTAACTGAATTTAAATATATATCGTCGTTAATAATTGTGAATTTCAAAACGAAATGACGTCCGCATCGAGAGGAAATTAGATATATATTTCATTGCCGCTTGCAGAGGCA